GCTCACCGGATTTGGAAACATCCACCAAATTCAAACTTTTACTCTAAAAAAATATAAATAATACAAATAAGAATGGAAGAAAAACCAAGAAACCAGAGCAACTACCCAAAGTCCCAACTCACCCATTGTCGACAACAACTCTCTCTTGCACATCAAAATTCTCATTCTAATTTCTACCAAAACCAACTCCAGCCCCAGCCCCAACCAACCCATGCCCGACCCCTTCTCTCTCTCCCTGTCATCCCAAAACTTAACAAGACACCCATGGAAGTTTGGGAGAAGAAGTGGTTTGGGAGATGATGGTGATTGTGGTTGTTTGGGTATTGTGTTTATGAGGGAAGATTATGGTAGGGCTGGGTGGTTAGGGTGGATTAGTGGGGTTTTTTTAATAATTGATATTATCATTATAACTAGCCTCTCCGCACGTGCTTGCGAGAGGCATTTTTTTAGAAATTTTTTAATTTATTTTAGAATTAAAAAATATAATGGCTAGTTGTGTTCCATAAAAATAGGATCCATTATTTGATTTTTTTTATATATTTTTTTTTAATATGAAAAATTGTGAATTTACCATATTATCCTCATTTAATTAATAATTTTAATTCTTAATGTTTGCACTAATCATGACATTTTCTGGTATTTAGAATGTTTCACCATTCTCTGTCTTTTGCTATATATAGAAATTAAATTATATTTTAGAAATAATAATGGGTGGGAAGATAAGATGGGTGGGAAAATAGGATAGATATTGAAAATATCAACACTCAATAGGAAAATGTCTCGTGCTATAATCAACTAGCTTAATCCACATATGCTAACGGAATATTGAATTTAACGAAGATTGGTAAAGAGTTTGCACCTATCTTATCCTATGAATCTATAATTAACAATTTTTCGTAAATATACATAGAAAGGAAGGGCGAAAATAATCCCGAAATGGGCAAATTTGGAGAGTAATATCCTATGCGCGCCCACTGCATAGAGGACAACAGAAGTCAATCTGTAACCTTCCGTATACGCCAATCCTTTACATTCCTGCCCGTTGCACGCCCACTGCCCAACCACACCCATGTATAAATCCACGCCTCCGAATCCAATGCTGCTCACTCTTTATGAGGATAGTGTTGTTAGACAAGAAAATTCAAGAAATTCAACAAGGAAATAACTCAACGGTCACGATGCGTCCTCACTGCCTCCTCGCACTCGTTGCCCTCGTCCTTCCTCTAGTGGCCGCCGCAGCCACAGGCCACCGGGACGCCTTGGTCGGCGGGTAT